ATATAACATTTTAGACACATTCTAGACAGTTTATCAGCTAAAAAAAGTTAATTTTGGGGTAAGTTACTCTTTAACAAAGACAAATCTCTGGTCTTTGGTTATTGAAACAATATTATCTGAACTCTGACTCTTCTTCTCTCTGATAGAGACTCAAAATAATCTTAAGAAACATCAGATCCTTCTCTACAGTTTGTCATTATTTAGCAACACTGTTCACATGCAGACATTTCCCTTTGACATCACTTCCTGTTACTTCACAGGCAAATATCTCAACAACTGTTCATCTCAGCGACATGAAAAATTTTTTTGCAATATTTTATCAATGTCCTCTTCCTAAAAATGCATTAAAATGTATTACAAAAAAATGACAACGCAGGCACTTTAAGTGTTCCCCCTCGGCTGAATCCTGCCGCCCAGCTTACCGCCATTCCTGTGACAAAGGTGATGGCCAGAGGGAGCATCTTGTCCACCTCTTCTTTGCAGAGTTTAGCAGCCGGCTCGGGCAGATGAGCACACAGGCTGTCAATCCCTGCCATGATCTTTTTCTGGAATAAAGGGACAATAAACTCTTGATTTAAGGATGAATGCAATAATGCTTGACTTATTCATTATCTATTAAAACAAAGAAAATATCACTTTCTGAGCTTTTCAAATTGTTGTACACAGACACATCTAAATGACACCCTATAAAGGTGGTGAGGCTGAACTTTATACTAGGAAATAACTCTTGGAGGTGGATAAGTAATTGATGATATATTTTAATGTGGTTCAGTTTAAAAGTTGGTTTATTTTTTTTATTTTTATAATAAAATTTCAACATTACTAAAATAACTCTTGATAATTTGAGTTTATAACGATTATCTTTGTCTCATTTTATGTTTCCTTTTGACAAATCGTCCTGTATTGATTGATGTGAAAGGTTAAAGTTTTGCTGCCATCTGAGGAACTGGAATAGTGCTTTAAAAACTATAAAGCTTGTTTTGTTTCACGTGTCGACTGTTTAGAAAACCTAAATATTTTCTCAGTTTTTAACTTCAAGAGGACTAAAGTTGCCCAATCAGTTCACACAACTGGATTAAAACAAAACATGAAAGCAGAACAAGATTAAAAGCATCAGCAAAAAGAGAGGATCTTCAAGATGAGTTTAGAAACCAATATGACAAAGAACATTTCATTTCATCTTTTATTGGACAGATAAACAGGAAGTTCAGAACAGGAACCTTTCTGTCTGTTTCTGTTTCAAACCACATTTAGTTTGATACAGTTCTGCCTGAATGAATTAGAAAAATGTGCTTCTGCTGATAACAGAGTCAAGTAACTTCCACTTTTTTTTATTTAATCAGAACTTTTCAGCCACAGATGCTAGCAGCAGCAGCACACCATGTTCAGCTCCGACCTCTGAATGTGTAGATGATACATTTATCAGAATACACTCGGGCATGCGTTCGCACCGCACTCCACCGTGATCAGAATAATTAGACTTTTTAACATTGCAAACAGTATTATTCCCTACCTGCAGATCTGAAAATGATTTCTGACCAGCATGATTTTAGATTATAACTGATGCAGTTTCTAAAAGATGACCAGTTTAATAACTACCAGTCTTTCCGTGGTACTGTAATTTGTTTTAATTTGATTTTTATGATTTGTTTATGTCTTTAAAACATGTCATTTTCAATTTTATCTGGATCTGTATTTTTATCCGTCTGAATTTTAACGTTGCTAAAAGCCTGTCATGGCGAGCAGAGGTGGTTGGGCTCAAAGATGCAGACTCAGTGACTCGAGGAGAAAACTAAAGAAAACGAAATTTTATTTTAACAAAACTAAAAGCTGTCGTGGCAGCAAAACTTGGAAAAAACAAACTGAAAACATGACACAGGTATTCAGAAAGAAGACCAGACATGAAATGAAAGCTAACAAAGGTCGACTGATGAGTAGGATAAGATAAAGCTTTATTGGCATTGTACAAAGCACAATGAAATTACAGCTCAGAGCACCCATTCACAAGAATGAGTGAAGATAAACAGAAGGACTATATGGACTGGGGTTGATGGGGAGAGTGGCTGCAGCTGTGACTAAATTAAACCAGGAACAGGCTTGTGGGGAAGGCTGGCGTAACAAGTGAAAGTACGAGAGTAAAAACAAGTAGGCCTCTGTCAGTGTGCCCCAGGGCAGCTGTGGCTAATGTAGTTAGCCACCATCAGTGACACTGTGGATGTCTGAAGTGTGAAGCGCTTTGGAGTCTATGTGGACTTGATAAGGTGCTATATAAGTTCAAGCCATTTACCATTTGCCGTTTTAGGAAGATGTTTAATCTGGTTACTTGACAAGGAATTTGGGTTCCTAAAATATAATCCAGATTTTTCTGTAACACAGCTGAAATTGACTCACCTGTAGGTCTGAGTTGGAAAGCAGGTCTTCTATACCTTCAAATATTTGGGTGCAGTCCTTGCAGACATCCCCATTCTGAATATTGAAAATAAAATACACGTTTTGAAAACGAATATATTTAATGCCACCTGTAATCCTGTTTTATCAAATAGAATCTTATTTTCACATCAGTTTCACTTCATACAAAACAAAATAGTTTTAAAAAAAGTCATACAATTAGTGGAAGTAAGGACATTTCCTAAAATTTCATTTGTTTTGAACAAAAATGTTTGATTTAGTTTTCACACATCTGTTATTTATCTCTAATGTGGACACTGTGTCTTTACTATGCCTCTAAAAATGAAAACCTTACTGTTGAATTTTACAGTTTGGTCCTTCATGCTTATAGAAAAGATGCTTTTAACTTTATGTACTTCTAATTTTTTCTTTTCATTTTATTTTATTAATTCATTAAAACAAAGAAAAATCTATGTACAATAAAAAGCACAATTTTTAAACTAAATGAAAGGAAGCAGAGGGAAGAAAAGTCTTATAACACAAATACATGCATTGTATAAAAGCAAATATTAAATTCCTTGTAAATAGTTTTATGTTTCTCATTTTTCAAAAGCAATATATTCTTTAGAGATATAAGAAAAGTCACTTACTTCTATGGTGTCAGGAGAAACTTCATGATTTGCAGTCAGAGCTGCAGAAATAGAGGTTTTTCATTAAAAACTATTTTAAAAAAAGTTAATTGCATTTGATTTTTTTATGATTTTAAGTATTTTTATGTCCTACCGTAGCCCTGGAGACCTACGGAGAGAAGCAGTGTTAATATGAGCGTGGCCATCCTCGGACGTCTTCAGACTCTGTGTTGAAATGTTTTTCTTCTCGTGTCTATGAGAACTGTAGGAGCAGTTTATATACGTGGTCCACCTGCTCGCTGCGCCCCCACCTACCAGATTTAAAAAAAAACTGATGCCACTGTGAAAAATGTCTTCAACATGGCCGAGATAGAATAAATTTCAGTTCCTCCTGATGTGAAACAGGAGGAACTATTTGCATTTCCCCCTGATCCTGTAAATAAATAGACCGACAGAGCACATAAAGGGTTTGACGTTTAACCCTAGTTTATAAGAAAACCAATGCATTTCAACAGAAGTCTGACATCAGAACCTGTTGAGCCCGATGGGCCCGGTACAGGGCCTACAAGAGAAATGAAGGAGAAAATATAGGCTTAAAGGATTAATAAAGCATCTTTTTAGTGACGTGTGTGTTTGTTGAACCATCATTTAGTTAAATTCTTTTCTATCTTGTGAAATATAAATGTTTTACACGAGCTGTGATTTTAGATTTTGACATTTGTCTCCCCCACAGATCCAAATTAACTTTACTTTTTTATTATCTCCCACCACCAAAGACATGTTCTGATTCAAAACTGCTGATTCTAAACCATAAAAGTTTTGTTTGGAAGTAGCACACCGCAAAAAAATATACATAACATTACATTAAAGAGAGACTAAAAAGATTATGTAAAACTTTAACCTTGAAGGTGATGAGCAATAAGCATTATTTCAAGGAATTCAAGGCTTTTAATAACTTTTAATGTGAGTTGTAAAGTCTTGTTTTGAATAAATACAACTTTACTCCTATAAGCTCTGCTCACATGCAGCTCATAGTTTCTGTTTGCTCATTGACCTGTACAGTTCAGTTCCTCATTTTTAAGAAAAATCAACCTGGTCACAGGATTTTTTTTTTTTTTTTACATTTCTAAGTGTGTTTACTGACAGATTGGGATGTTTGTGCCGCCACCTGCAGCTTTCTTTTGGTAGTCTGCAGATCCTGTCATGTGCTTTAAAAAAATAATAAAATAATAAAGTGTTACAAACTAATAATTTTTAGGGAATTCAGACTATGAGGGTCTCAGCAAAAATGAATGTCATAGTAAAGACAATTATAAAGACAGACTGATAAAACATAATGACATCTTAATCCATGACATCAAGAAAAATTAGAAACTGGCCAAACTTGTAAAAGTTTGGAAGGAAGATAGTTTGAGAAAAACTACAGAAACCAAAAATCTCAACCTGAATAAACTGAAGCTGCATTGTTTAAAAAAACTGAACAAAAATGTCAAAACCTCAGGAAGACATTTATTTAAAGGTTAAATTACAGTTTAGCTGTTTTTTTATGTTTAGTTTCTATATTTTGGTTCTGTTTCATAACAGGACATGTGTTCATAGAAGATAGTTTCACTTCTTTTTTGTCTCTGTCTTAATATGTCTGGCTTTAGATGAGAGTATTTTTAGGAAGCAAACTCTTTGGTAAGATGATTTAAGTTGACAATGAAACAGAAATGTTACCAATAAAGTTTTAAACAATTACAAGTTTGGTAACGTTTGATCAAAGGCGGCTCAGAAACAAACTAGATCAAATCCTGGAGGATTTTAAAGTCTATTTCACTGTAAAGATTCATAAACTTTGCTTTCGTTTTTTTGTTTTCAAAGTTTTGCAGTGCCAACAGAACCCTTGTTTCTGCTCACCTGCTCAAACCTGTAAAACCCTCAAGTTGTTTGCTGCGAGAAACAAAAAATTTGTCACCAGTCTGTGTTCACTAATGCATTCATAAAAGTTTCTGTTCTTTAGTTTCTGTTGGTTTTTATCGATGTAAGGTTGTACCTGGAGCACCTGACTGACTGGTAAAGCAGAAGTTCACACTTGGGTTTCCGACAAAATGAGAACTTTTCTCAAACCACCCCAGTGGTGAAATATGATTTCTTACAAAACCTTAGCGTTAACTAACAGACTTCCACTTTTTTTGTTTGTTTTCCTTCCTTGAAGAGGGATTTAAACACATACATCTCTTCAGTAAATGTTGCAAAACACTGAAATACTACAGAAAATTACCTTATTTGACTATAAGCTGGCAAACTGAGTCCCCCAATACACATCTGATAAAAGAGTCCTGTCACACACTGGTAGATCCTTCCACTTATTTAATATTTATATAAATAAAATTTCTAGGTTTTATTAGTGTATGGTTAACTGTGGTTGTTTTGACTTGAATTGTTTGTCTTCAATTTGAACTCAGAGATAGATTAGTGTTTTTCTGTGAGATGCATATTTTTATACAGAATCCCAAAAACAACCAACCAAATAAGAAAATAAGAATCTCAAAACAGTTTGCACAAACTGTTACTGCATAACTTTTCTGAGATTAGAGTCATCTTAATATGACAGCAGCTCACATTGGTCCATTTCTACTTGGACTAGCCATTAGCTCGTCAATCCACACAGAACTAAACTCTTTATCTTCAAACTGAGGTCACCCAATGAGCCATCTGTAACAGGTAAGATACTAACTGCTCACAATCTCTTAAATCTTAGAGCGTGAAAATATTTAAAAGTCTAATTTAAAACAAAGTTTGAGACCAGCTACGTAAGTTAAAACGTTATAGTTTGATTAAACTTCAATTGGTTTGCACATTGGAGCAGTGGCTGATGATAAAAAGGAGGTCACTGGTTCAAAACTCTGCAGCTGTTCTGTGTGGAGCTTGCATGTTTTCCTACATGTATGGATTTTCTCTCAATAACCTGCGTCTTAGGTTGACTGATAATGTTAAATTGTCCCTACAGTGTGAATGATTGCATCTCTCTTGTCTTTATGTGGTCCTGTGATAGACTTGCGACCAGCCTAGGGAGTACCTCACCTCTTGCCCAACAATAAAAACACCAACTGAGATCATTACTTCTATCAGTCAACTGATCAGAAAAAGTAACTGATCAGAAATAAGAGCATTTCCTGTGTCTCACTGACCAGGAAGAATAAACAACAGTTTGCTGATTGCAGCCTCAGTTGCTAAACTGACGGGGCGAGGCTTTCCCTCCAGCCTCTGAATAAAAGAAGAGCAGCAATGTCGAACCCCAGCATCACCACATCCAGAGCCCAGAGAGCATCACAGAACTCTTCAGTGGGACAGGTAACAGCTTGATGTTTTAATTTGCACTGAGACGATGGTTTCTGAATTCTTTCTGACTTTGTTTCAGAGATGCTTTTCTCAGTCCTCCTCGTGCTGGGCTTCAGCCTGGTGCCCACTCACTCCAAACCTTCTGGTAAATCCATCCTGATGGCTTCTTTGTGCACATTTTTTGTTTTATTTTTGTCTAAATTTTAAGACTGCGACTCCTGTTTTGAAGGTGAAACTCTTGGCAGTCCTTTTCTTCACCAATGCTTCGAGGAGGCAAAGAAAATAGTGGACGATGCGTACAAATACTCCAGAGAAGAGTAAGTTCAATAAATCAGTCCTGTATATTTATATTCATGCAGATCAGTGTTTTTTATGCTTTAAAAAACCTTTTGTCATAACGTTCATTCAAGGTTTGAGAGAAAAGTAGCACTGTTTCTAAAAATGGTTCAGATTTTCTTTTTCCACTTCTTGTCCTCAGAGTTGTAAAGTACAAATATTTTGTTACTGTACTTAAGTATAATTTTTGAGTATCTTTACTTGATTTTTCAGCCTACTTTTTACTTCTACTTCTTACATTTTTACACAATTATCTGCACTTTCTACTCCTTACATTTTAAAAAAGGCAAGCAGTAGAAAGTCGTTACTTTGATTTCATTTTTGCTCGTTTTTATTCCAGCTCCTTATTGTAAAAAATAAATACTATCCATATAAATTGTGCGTCCTATAGAGTGAATTTAATTGTGGTTGAATGACAAGTAAAAATATATAAAATTCTGATACTGTATTAGTTTGTACACAAACAAATCATGTCACACTCCAGCAGGACGTAATTATTAAAATAAAAGGACTGTACTTAAATGAAGTATTTGTATTTCATGAATTATATTATTGTATTTGGCCGCAGCCCTCAGATTTTCATTTTGGGGAAAAGTTTTGTGCAGCCTTGATATTTGCATATAAACTGAAACAGCTGGACTAGTGCAACTTAAATTTAACAAATTAATTATTTTAACACAACATGATCATTTCTTCATTTTTTGGGGGGGAGGTCACCTCCTAATAAATCTCATCACAGAAAACCTAACTGCTCACTTTAAATAAACTTTTAATACTTAAGTACAAAAAATATCAGATGCTTTAAAACTTTTACTCAAGTAATATTCCTAAAGAAGACTTTAACTTCTATGAAAGTAATTTTTTGGTAAGATACTTGTACTTTTACTTAAGTATCACTTTGTGGTACTTTATACAACACTGCTTGTCCTTCAGGAGTCTCAGACGGGTTCGTAAGGATGTGGTCCAACCGCACGATGCTCTCCGCCTCCTGAAGCAGCCCCGCGGTGACACCCGCTCAGCTGTCCGCTCTGCAGACTACATGGCACAAACCCTCCGTCTGGTCCACGACAAGGTGCACCGTGTGCACAAACGCTCTCTGAACGCCACAGGTCAGACAATAAAGTCTGCTGTTCCAGAGCTGCATGTAACTACAGAACATGAGACTAATGCATGAATCCTTTTAGATTTGCTCTCTGCGCAAGACCTGGTGAAACTCGCACAGATAACCGGGTGTGAGGCTCGAATCAGAGCTCCAAACTGTGGCACCACACCAGACATCAACAAGTATCGAACGGCCACCAGTGTCTGCAACAACCTGTGAGTTTCTAATATTGTTTTCTTAATTTAGATGTTTTTTCTGTATTTTTAATGATACATGGTATAGTTCCCTCCTTTCTGTAATTTACTTCCAAGGAGTTTCTTATAATTTAAAAAATGGTCTTGGTTTCTATTTTTCCAAGTCATTTGCAAAACTTTTTTTGTTCATGCTTTTTGACCTCATTGTCAGGAAAATCTTCAAAAGACCTTTTAAGTCAAATAAGTACAAACAAAATTGTAGCTTATTTCCACAAAGCAGTTCCCTTTTACACTTGATTAACTGAACTTTCTTTCAAAACAAGTGCTTGTGAAATGCACCTGAACATCTTAGGCCATAAACCACACAAGATGTGTAAGAGGGGATTTCTCAAGCAGCGCCCAAACGAAGACTTCTCACATTTGCTTTCAGGAAAAATCCTCGCCTCGGAGCCTCCAACACCCCCTTCACCCGCTGGCGGCCCGCCGAGTACGACGACAACATCTCCCTACCAAAAGGATGGGACAGAAACCGACGATTCAACAACTTCGTCCTCCCGCTGGTATCGCACTCAAATCCTCGATCCTGGTTGCTTCGTCCAAGTCTTTATTCAGACCTGACACTGAACCGTTCTCCTGCGGTCTTAGGTGCGGCAGGTGTCCAACAACATTTTGAGGACGGCAGACGCTGACGTGGTCAGCGACAGAGACTTCACTCACATGGTGACCCTGTTCGGCCAGTGGAACGACCACGACCTCACCTTCACGCCCTTCTCGCCCAGCATCCGCTCTTTCAGCAACGGGGTGAACTGCGACGAGAGCTGCGAGCGCACCGAGCCGTGCATCCCCATCCCGGTTGGTTTTAAAAAACCCGACCCGCGACGTGTTGTTTTCACCCTGTCCTCCTTGTCTCACCCTCCTTGCCTTTCTGAACCCACACGCAGATCCCCCCTGGCGACCCCCGCCTGCCCTCCCGCCCTGACAGCTGCATCCCTGCCTTTAGATCCGCCCCTGCTTGTGGAACGGGGTACTCCGCCTACAACTTTGGCGGGGATCCCAACAGGAGAGAGCAGATCAACGCCCTGACGGCCTTCCTGGATCTGGGGCAGGTGTACGGCTCCGAGGCGCAGCTCGCGCTGAATCTCCGTAACCTCACCAGCAACGGCGGCCTGCTCGCCGTTAACACCGAGTTCAGAGACAACGGCCGAGAGCTGCTGCCCTTCCACCCTCTGCAGGTGCAAATGTGTGCAACGCGCAGAAGAGTCACGAACGACACAAACGCCAGAGAGGTGCCCTGTTTCATAGCCGGTTAGTCCTTTATGGTTATGTCTCCTTTACCTGGTTTGGTCAAAACGTAGAAATCTAAGTTGCTTCTCTTTCTGAACAGGTGATGTGCGTGTGGCTGAGAACATCGCCCTGACTTCCATTCACACCCTGTTTGTACGTGAGCACAACCGTCTGGCTCGGGGCCTGAAGAGAATAAACCCCCAGTGGGACAGTGAGACCCTCTACCAGGAGGCCCGCAAGATCATGGGAGCGTACACACAGGTAGAGACGTCTGAGTTTGTCCTCTCTATAAAAGCCTGCTTCGTTCACTCCTCTGACCTGTGTTTGTCTCTCAGGTATTCGTGTTCAGGGACTACCTGCCGCACATTGTCGGCGACGAAGCAATGCGCCGGCAGCTCGGCCCGTACCCTGGCTACAACCCCGACGTGGACCCCAGCATCGCCAACGTCTTCGCCACGGCGGCGTACCGCTTTGCTCACTTGGCAATCCAGCCGGTTTTATCCCGACTGGACGAGAACTACAGAGAGCACAGTCGCTTCCCGAGCGTGCCCCTGTTTAAGGCCTTCTTCACCCCCTGGAGGATCATCTTTGAGGGTGAGCTGCGCCGAGACCGACTGGAATCCTGTCTTGAAATGTCCTCACGGTTTCTTGTCTTGATCCAGGTGGAATTGACCCTGTGTTGCGCGGCCTGGTCGGCCGTCCCGCTAAGCTGAACACCCAGGATCACATGATGGTCGACGCTATAAGGGACAGGTTGTTCCAGTTCGTCCAGCATCTGGCTCTGGACCTGGCCTCCCTCAACATGCAGCGCAGTCGTGATCACGGCCTGCCTGGTACTCACCTCCCTCGTTTCCACGCTTCTTTCTCTAACTTTACCTTCTTATGCATGTTTGACCTCACCTGTTGACTCCTCCAGGCTACAACGAGTGGCGCAAGTTCTGCGGTCTGTCCCAGCCTCGTAACCAGGCTGAGCTGGGTCGGGTTCTGAACAACAACAACCTGGCCAGCAGGCTGCTGCAGCTCTATGGGACGCCTGACAACATCGACGTGTGGCTCGGAGGAGTCGCAGAGCCGTTTGTAGGCGGCGGCCGTGTGGGGCCTCTGTTAGCCTGCCTCATCGCCACCCAGTTCCAGAGGGTCCGCCAGGGTGACCGGTCAGTACCTTTTACTTGTTTTACTCAATTAAATTCTTATTTTTAACACGTAACACTGCATAAACTTAGAACGTAACCTTTATGACTTGTTCAGGACTCGAATGTGAGGCATTTCTTTCTTTTTTTCTGAACATTTCAGATTGTGGTACCAGAACCCGGGTGTTTTTACCCCCAACCAGCGGGCTGCTCTTTCCTCTGCCACGTTGTCCAGAATCATCTGTGACAACACCGGCATCACGACGATTCCCCGAGACGCTTTCAGAGTCGTCTCAGCCACAAACCCGATGGTTCAGTGCTCCAGTATCCCTCAGATGAGCCTGACCGCCTGGAGAGACAGACCCACCGCCTCGTAAAGCACCAGGGACCTGTCTGTGTCTGCACGTTAAAACAGTCAGGAATATTTTTTTTATTTTAGCCAACAGAACAGACAAAAGCATGATCCATGTGTATCTTCTCGTTTTTACTGTAAGATTTCTTTTTTTGCTTTAGCGGAATGAAACAAGTCTGATCTGTTACAGCGCGCAGTCCTTTAAACTTTAAAAACTTTCTGCCTTTGAATAAATAATTTACCAGTTTTAAAGTGAATATTTTAAGCATTGATCAAATGAAGAGTAAGAATCAGAAGTTGTGCTTTGTTTGCTTTTTAAAACATCACTTGTCACAGTCTTATTTTGCATCCAATAAAGAAGTTTAACATTACTTTTAGTGACCATTTCTAAGATTTTGTCATTTTAAGTTCAACAAAAAATTAAACTTATTCACTTTTTGAAATAAAAATAAAGAAAAATAAATGCTGTTTGAGCTTTATTTGCATCAAGAACTAAATGACTAAAGGTGGAAATCATTTCATATAAATAAATACTCTTTTGCTATTTTTTTTTATCCCAATCATAGACATTTTATTCTTACAGTCCCTTTTTTCCCTAACAGCTGTCGAAAAGTATTTCCTTGTTTTTGACCAGCATGAATTTACACAGCCAGTTATTTAATACTTAAACATAAATAATATTATTTTACAATGTTATTTAAGGTTACGATCCCAAAATTGTAATCTTCATTAAACATTTTCCCATATTTTATTTAGAATGTAGCAATCTGTAAAATCATGTTATGATGAATCTCCAATAGATGGCGCCAATGTTCTAACTTAAACTTAATACAGTGTATAAAACATACTGCAGACTTTTGAAAAAATGCATTAAAATTGCCTTGATTTATTGGTTTATTACCAATTTGGGGAAAAAAACTCAATTTACTTCAAATTAAAAGATTACCTGGCTTAAACCTGCCCTTTTTTTTATAAATAAATTGTGTTTTATTACGAGGTTTGATCAAAAAGAACAAAAATCTCCCAGTATCTAAACTGGTGACTTAAACAATGACTGTTTCTCTTCAAACAAAAAGTATAAATAAAATATATTATCACCTTGTTTGTCCTCCTCTGTGTCAATATATGATGAGCGGAAGTTAAACCATCCGATACGTTCAGACTCAGACCTGACTGCAGAGTTTTCCAGACCAAATGGGCAGCATGTGTTGGGAAAAAGACAGAGGTGAGTTCAGAGTAAACAGAGGTGAAGACACACAAACACACACACACAGTTGCAATGCAGCACCCTTGAATACATTTAACAAAAATACTTTTAAATCTAGAGGAACTAGGCCAATTTTGCGATCACCACATTTTTATATTTTCCACTACTTCATGAGTTAAATTTAAAAAACGTTTCTTTCCATGGGGTAATAAAAAGCAGATGAACAGCTGGTTTGATGATGTTTCGGCTCATATTTGTACCTGCAGTCTGTTGAACCAAACGTGTTGGCCTAAAGGGAGCATCTCTTCATGTTTGTATCATCACACAACATCACAGCCGTAGACACAGAGCTGAAGTTTTTTAGCTTGTTGTTCCTCACCTGTAGAAATGCAACATTTTGTTTGACGACATTTGTTGTTTTTTTTTAGCCACAGCAACCAGCAGAAAGGGTAGAAACTTGGAAAGTGAGGACAGAAACAAGTAAAGATACTTTTTCATACCATGAGGTTTTTGTTTTAGAACTTTGTTGGCATCAATCCTATTTGTGTGTTGGCAAAATATCACAGGAACCACTGGACTGGCTATTAGAAGTATTGGAGGAAAAGAAGAACGTATTATTCTTCTGTCACAACACGAGCTGATGAGGAATGTGTTTTTGCAGTACATGTTATAGCACGCAGCTCAGAGCGTGTGTACTTATACTTAAACAGGAATAAAGCTCATGGTCCACAGTGAGTTTTCAAGACGTGCAGAGACAGGGTGGCACTTTGTTTCATTTCTAATGAGATCCAAACGGTGGGTCAAACACATGAAAACACTTTAATGTTCCAGAACCTTGTTTATTTTTGGTTTATTAATCCCTGCCTGTCTCTGTTCTTTCGCAATAAAACAAGCTTGTTTCCAAAGAAACTCTAAAACTGGTTTTCCTGATTCTTCTGAATCTCCTGACTCCAGAATGGTTGTTCTCATGGTTCATCCTCTCCTCCTGTGCATCCTGAACGCTCTTCTGTTGAGTTTGTTTAATTTAATCACAACTTTTACACAAAGGAAGTCCTAAAGCTGCTGTTTAATGGGCAGCACTAATGAGGCAAAAACAACAAAATATATCAGAAAATACAGGTTCAAGGAGCTCTCTACAACAGGTAAGATATTATTTGTTAACAAATGTTTTATAAAAAATATCCATGGTACATGGGACACTTAACAGGGGAACCATGATTCTGAGGTTTGTTTATTTTGGGAGTTTTTCCTTTTTTTTTCCTTTTTGCTGTTTTCTGAGTCATGTCTTCTTTGTGCTTCTTTTCTTGCGTTTCATTAGTTTTATTTCTGTTTTTCTCCCTGTCGTCCTCACCTTCAGCTCCTCCCTCACACCTGCACGTCATCTGATCAGCCCAGCTGCTCTCCTTCAGTATCATCTGTTCGCTCCTGGTTCCTGTTTGTTTGAGTCTGTTTAGTTTTGTTCTGTCCTCTGCTCCGCATCTTCAGTGTTTGTGTGTCTGCTGGATGCAAACAAACTGCTGCTGATGATTTATGAAGTTATAATGTGAACTTGGGCCACGCCCCAAACCACACCCCTAATTTCCCAAGCAGCCTTTTTCCAACACACCCATACTTCACCCTCCCTTACCCTCAACCCTTTCACCCCATCCTCCCTCATCCCATCATCCTCTTCCCCTTTCATTCCCTTCGTCTCATAATCATCATCCATCCTTTGTGATCCTCTTTGTTTCTGGTTCCTTGAAGACTGCATGCCTCTCACGCCTTCTGGCTTTCTCCTCAGATGACCAGTCCTCATTTCTAGATCATTCATCCCCTCATTCTCCTCCTGCAATAAACCTTTAATCTCATATCTTTGTGGCGTGGTCCTTGCTGGTGAACTTAACTAAACTGGACAACATGTAGGTGTGTTTTCCCCTTCAGAGTTCTCCTAAAGCATAAAGAACTGAATGGTGAGGTCATCACTTTACTGCCCTGAAGTGATCCAAATAGGCTCACACATTTAACAGGTTTTACTTGAAAAGATATCACTTTTTGTCTTGTTATTGTATCGCTGCTTTAATCTCAGTGGAGACACTGGGAGTGAGAAAGAAAAACGATGTAAAGTTTTCTGGGCTGTGTCATGATAAAGTGCTCCTCCTCCTCCTTTTGCTTGAAGAAAATGCAGTGTATGTGCAGATTGCCACGTAGTCCATCAGACTGTGTGTGTGTGTGAGAGAGAGAGAGATTGTGTGTGTGTTATGAAAGCCTGAGCTTATGTGTTCCAAGAGAAATAAATACACATCAGTTATGAAATAAAAAGTCTGAAAGTATTTGAAATGTCTGCTCCTGTCACAGGGGGTGGAGCTTTGTTTGAATGAGACGAGTTTTAGGGGAAATCAGCTACTGTGAGGAAATGTTGGAGAGCACATCTGAGCGAACTTACCAAGGAGAATAGAAGACTCTGAATCTGTGTCGACTGAGGCTTTAAAAGAGAGTTGGCTTTGACCTGAACGCTTTGTTTCTTTTAGGATTTCATAACTAATAAATTCCTAGCACTTTGTAAGATAAATTTTGTACAAAAAAGGAGACAGAGTTATAGCTGTTTTAGTCAAACTTTATAAATCATGTTTTAATCTTGTGTGATTTCTTGTGAGAGCCTTTAAGATGCTTTAGAGCTGTTTTCTGAATGACTCCCAGCTACTACCACACCACAGTTTTTGTGTTAGTGTAACCACATCTGATCTATGGCGTGCTGGTAATAAGTAAAGGATTTGCCGTGACACAATTCATCTTTGGGGGAGCAGTTACTTCATTTATTTTGATGCGAACATTAAACAGAAAATAACCACGTTATAGACTGCCTGCACAAAGTACAAAACTAAAGTCCATCCCTGTCACTTTAGAGTCAGAGATTCACTCAATATTCACAATATAGGGTGAATTGCAATGTATCATTAATTTTCAAATGTTTGAATGGTCTGGCTCCACTGGTGCTGAGTAGTTCATCTTAAATCTGGAGGTTCTGTTACTTGTGATGCATCCAGTAAGAACTGTGTGCCTTTTCCTAAAATCTCTTTTGGTTAAACAGTTTTTTCTGTGCATTAATATGTGGAATTCCTTACCTGAAGACTTGAAACTGATTCCAGACTGAAACATTTTTAAATTCAAACTGAAGGAGTTTCTCAAAAAAGTCCAGATTTATAGCCAACGTTAAAAATAAACTGTGATGATTTTAAGATGGCTCATTAATTTTATTCTGGTACATTTTAAGTTGTTTTTAGGATTTTGTATAGTATGATATTTTATCTTTCATGTTGTTTTATCGTTTTTAAACTTGTATAAGCCCATCTGGGGACGAGCTACTATATAAATAAGGCTATAAATGTTATAGTGTTCTGTATTTGTTATATGTAACAC